GACATCTTAATGATTGGCTATGATTGACTACTGGAGCTATCTTGGTTCATTAGATTCTATTTTAGTCCCTCAGTTTATCAGTTCTAGTTTTACGTATCAGTTTACTGGCGTTTTGTTCTACATCACAGTTTAGTTTTTAAGACAATGTGTAGACGAGACTCTCTCCACCAAACTATCCTTTTCTCTCCACTATTTTAGGGGGTTTCGTTCAAGAGTAGTGTCAGTTTGCACTTTTTATGAGGTTTTGATTCTGTCGGAATGCGCAGCCCAGTTCTTCGAGAGCTATCCTATCTTCGGGATCAAAGAGAACGTACATGGATAGCGAAAAATAGATGAACCTGTCATATAATAATCGTCCTCTTGGAATATCAGACAAACAATAAATGGTCGTGTTAGCGGCTATCGTCAACGTTCTGCATTTGCGGCTAGGAACGATTTCAGGAATAGGCTTCGCGAACGGCAGCACATTGGAACCTGAGCAAACTGTACGAGGCAAATACGCGAGAGGGAAACGAATGGGTTCGTTACAGTTAGAATTAGACTCACATTAGAATGACAGTCTTAAATACTGTTCAGTATCCCGTGTGATTATGAAGCATTCCCCCTGCGGTTCATTTTCGGGTTCTTGGAATTAATCTAGAATGGAATTTTATGCCTGATTATTTTTCCTTCAACATTTATCCAGTTCCAAGCCATCGACTAGGATCTCGTTCCTAGTTATCGGCACTGGCAACCCCTCGATCGTTTCGAATCGCAAAACCTATTGCTATCTTGGCAATTGGCTTATTCTTCGGTGGCTGTGGTTCCTTTCTCTGGTCTACTTCTGGCTACGTTTCTGAATAGAAATGCCGAGAGCATTTCCAGTTTAGTTCGGCTTGCAGGGCTTGCTGAAGCTTCTACTCTAAATCGCAGTTCAACATTCGGCAAGAGTTCCTATCCATAAGTAAAACGATTAGCGGCACGAGAAATAGCCATTTCCAACGGCTACAGAGCAAAAGCCACTCAGGTAGGACAAAAAGGTAGATTTGTTCCCCAAAATAGTGTTTCGAACGTCACTAAGATCCCTTCTAAGCTACCGTTCATATCAAATGAAATAAGTTACCATTAAGAGGTGCTTAAGTAAAAGTGGTCATGGGAATTATGCGGCAATAGTCGACCTCCCACCCAAAACCCTACGCCGTCAGTTGGCTCGCAACCGCCTCAGTAATCGCTTGTGCAGCTCAGAAAACTGTATGATCTGCCCCAACGGGAGAGACGGGGATAGCGTGAGTTCAGTTACAATATACTTAATCTCATGTAACGCATGCGGTGAAGAATATATTGAGGAAACGGGTAGACCACTTTGTGTCCGCATAAAAGAACATCTGGATGGGGAAGTTAAAATTCGTCAAAGCACTCCTCTAGGTACGCATAGGGCATAAAAGCACAATTGCGATGATTTTGAAGTGACTGCGCGGATCCTAGCGCAGGAATCGAAAACATCAACGCGCAAAACTCTTGAGGCGTTCTGAATAAATTTTAAAAATCCAAAGACGAACCAGAAAGACGAATGCCTCATTATCACACGTGGTCTGGAGCCTCATTTAAAAATGATTTCTTTTTGACCAGGGTGGGTTTCGCTCGTCATCCCACGTGAGCAACACGCGGGAAGTCCCACTCGTAACAGCACGGTGAGTATTTTTTAATCCATATGGAGTTTATTTATATGTTAGATCTTCATTAATACTTTGCCACTTCATTTTTTTTCAAGTCATTTTGCCAGTCAAATACGCATTCGGTTACTTCTACGATACATAGCGAAGTTGAATGCATGGCATAGTCCTTCGGAGTTGACCAACGTGCTTAATTATAACTTTTTTTTTCATAGGAAATAAAGGATAAAGCTTTTGACGCTGATCAGTCTTTGATGGATGATTCATGCATTCGACTTCCTCAAGCATCATAAAGGTCACTGAATATGTATTTGGGCTATAAAATGAGTTATAGTGATTTTGCGATATATCAAGTCGGTGTTGCTATCCTCTCAGACAAGTCTGGTACCAATTTGCCGACCCGGAGGGGTCGCAGTCTTGGTGAGCCCTGAGCGTGGGGTTGAACTAAGGACCACGTTTGTATTGTTGGGGCCCCTCTATCGACTGCCCCTCAAGTGCCACCACTTCCCTCATAAACACATAATCTTCGTAGTCGGTCGAGTCATTACAATTGTAGTTGGTTGTTTTGTGTCGCTCATCCAATCCGTCCGTCGTCAGTTCGAAAGTGCATTTTCGATGCGGTGCTGCTGCTGATCATTCTTGTGTTCTCATGACTTCGACCATTTCCATGAACGAGGAATGTCGAATGCTCGTCCCACGAAGACCCGTACACCTCCATTGTTTTCGTCGCTCTACTTTTTCGTCGGTCGTCGGTAAACTCTTCTGCTAACAAAACCGAGTGACCTACCCAAAAGTATGGGCGAAAATGAAATGAAATTGACCCATTTACAAAATCTCGGGTTAATTTTAACAGATGGAAGCACAGTTATGAACAACCAAAAGAGTGCATAAAGGGAAGAAGGACGAGACAAAAAACAGAGCTCTCCTCATACCTCAGCCACAAATTCGATCATTTTGTTTAGAAAATTGGAAGCTAATGAAGTGGTGATTAAAAAGGATTCTTTATTTGTCTTTTTTCCATTCTTCATTCGGCTGGTTAATAACGCAGTACGTGTTTTCCTCCGTATTGTGCTGTTAGTAGATATTTCCATGGAACATTGAGAAATTTCTGTGACATACATGATTTCTATTTTCCCTAAAAAATTCAAAAAGGTCTGATACTTACCACAAGAATTTACGAATACGTTACGCTTTGTAGTACTGACAGAGTCGACATGTATGCTCCCTGCCTGCTTGGAGTGGCTGAAATTTTACACGACCAATCATCACACACTCTAAATCTCCTCGCAGTTCTTGAATTCGATTCGTTTCCTCGCATCCATATTCCACGTAGGTCTCCGCTTCTTTGTGCATGAGCTCGCCAGCTACTTGAGGATTTTTGGTCTTCCTTTCGAATGTCGTTGAATGCCGGTGGAGTAGATTCTTTCTTAAATCCTAACATGGTCATAGCTAAGGCGTTCGCAAGCCTTCATTATAAGCAGCCACTAGCTTTTGTGGATTGCATGGACTGGGCTGATCCCAGGCAAGCTGTTATTAATTTACCGACTCCGGAGAGAGGGATTAGTTTTTTTTGACCGCTAGTGGATGCGAGCCAAAGAGCACATTGTGTATTTCCATACGCGGCAGGCATTCATCGGAATGCTATTGTAAACCTGCTTTTATTTACTCTCGGTGTGAATGATCAATGAAATGTGGTACATTTAACGGAATGTTTCGGGAAAAGTTCCTCTATTCCTTAAATTTCGCATGTGTTTCACTCGAATGGTAGTGGGATGACGTTTAGCGGTGATTTTCGGCAAGTGATCCTTTCGTTCAATTGTTTTACATTGTGTGAAATTATAGAAAGCTTCACGAACAATGCTGTATTCAGAATGCTTCTCAGCTGGTGGCACGGATGGGGTGCGTGGTGGTCCAAGATGTGCGGGTTTGCCCAGTAAGGGAAGGAGAAGTGAAATTTCTAGTTCTACCTCGTTCAGCTTGGTACTTCATTAGTCCACGTATAACTGTCGTAGTCTGCTGTAGTCTTGCCTGACGAAGAGAAGACACAGTTAGTGTTTTCATGTTTCTTTTTCTGGTAGTCAATTTTTCATATTGCTACTTGCTACTACTTGCTATTGCTACTTTCGATTTTTTTGTACATTGTAGATTTTTGAAGTGTCATTTTTGAATAGAAGCGCCATAATTAGAGCTATGATGATTAGGTGTTCTTCTCGTGAACTTCTTTGTTCTTCTACAACTTTTCGAGTAAATTCGAATATGAATAGGATGTAACAGGAGGAGAATGACTGTGAAGATGATGTAAAAACAAGGAATAGGATCTTGAGCACTCCGTCTGTCTTCTAACCTCATTCAAGAAGAGGAGACCAGTTAGAAGATTATTCATTTTGTTGAGGAGTCCATGAACCTGAGCGTGTAGGGTAAGCATAGGGTTAGAAGACCGTTGCTTTTCTGACTTCATTCGTTTAGCACAAGTTTTTCTGTCTTATAGGTCACATTTTGGGCCCTACATGGTTTGTACTTCTGTTCTTGAAGCTTTGCTTTTTTTATTTCTATGTACTTTGCCGTTTTTTTCTTAACAGATCCTTAACGGTCGTGTCATATGCATCATCCAATCAGTGTCTCAGTCAATTCTGCTGTAATATCTCGAGATTTTGCCTCGAGACTCGAGAAGACGAAATGGAAGAGTAATTTTGTTTCAGGGCACATCTCCATCCAAGATGTCGGACGTCACGTCTTCTGTCGATCCGTCGCACTTCCATTGCTTGTGCGGACTGTGTCATGTGGTTGTAAGTTTCCTTTTCCAATAAGGTCATCAATTAACACCCACATTTACTATGGTATTTTATCCTCTCACTTCAAATTACCCAACAAAAGAGAAATAAATGAAATTACAGTTAGAAATTTTATGCAGAACAAATTTTATCCTCGGAAGAAATCCCAGTTCGAAGTTTGCAGAAAAGTTTAATTATTTACAAACGAAAGAAAACGTGAAGATTAAAACGACACGCAGGTAAAAGTCGGCCCAGAAACACGAATACAAGGCCAGATCATCACGAAATCTATGTTGCCTCGTTAGGGCGTGTGTGGCGCAGTGGTCGGAGGCGCACTACAACATACACGCGGAATCAATCTGCGCCCACGGCCCACCAATTAAACTACCCGAAGATTGTGATCGCCAGCTAAGAATACAAGCGGATTATCCTCATTTCACTGAATCACCCTCTAGAACCCGGTCTAGAGAGGAGTTGAATAGACTGAAAACTGCCAAAAAACCGAAATAATGTTGGTCGACATCAAAGTTTGATGCTGTTGCGTTCGTGGGTCACTTTCTCTGCTCTCGTCTTCAATATGGCTACCACTATTCGAACCATGAAGGATGAAAAAAGGATAAATCGTTTCGTTTCGATCAGTTCCTGAGAGATGCATTCGATAGAGATGAGCTTTGCATTCGATACTCTATAGCTGATCGAAGATCTGGCCTACGCAATGACTGGCGCTGCCTATGAACTCGGTATGTTTTGCCCTCCCAGACAAATCTGGTAGCGATTTTTCAACTCCAGAGGGATGATGAGCTTCGGAAGAACGGGGTTCGAATTTGGACCAACGAATAAATGCAAAAGACTTCTTACAGTTGCACCGGATACACCCGGAAGCCCAGCTACAGCTTATTGCAATGAATGCAAACAAATACAAGAGAATCATCTAGTCACTAAAGCAATCGCTCTGCTGCGAACCCTTTCGTGTTAATGACCCTTTCGATTCAGTGCTGTGAGAACATAGGACAAATTAACTGTTCCTCTCGAGGTTTCTTTCTGTTTCTTGCGCGAAAAAGAAGAGAAATAATCTAGATAACATAAAGATAAGTTCTCAGATAAAACAGGCTTACTTTACGGCGATTGCACTCACCGTAACGCTTTTTCTTGAACAAAAAAAACGAGGAAGGCGTAAATTTCAAGACGATCTTCTTCAAGCAGAGTAGCTATCGTATTGTAAAAGGTTGTTCAGACTGGAACAGAAGCGTTTCTGGTCTGGTACATGGTGTATTCGGCGTTGTCACTGCTATTTGGAATGCGCTCCATGATCATCTGGCTAATCCTTCCGATTTGTATCGTCATCCCAGCAATCTATGCAGTTATCACTAAACGGCATAAATACCTCTATCCATTTCTCATCATCACGGTACGATAATACACTGTTTTTTTATACTGATAACTGGGAAAATTCAATTAAAACCAGTATGTCAAGACTTTATTCCGTGATATACTATCTGCGAAGTTTATGCATTCTGTGCAATTCATACCCAACAGGAACCAAACGAGTGCATTGAATCTTTCACTACATGCTCGGTCACTCCATTGAAATAAGAACTATTTGCATTGATGAATAGCTAAGCATTCTTTCGGGTTAAGGAAGTTTTCAAGGCGGCGCGTGTTTTTTCTACAGTGCGACTACCGTACCCTGCACTAACCGTTTCAGGTAATTCAACAAATAGTGTTCATGCTGATGGCTGCTATCACTCTTATATTTTCTCTTGTCTCATTCAATACAATGCACCTAATCATCGGTAAGCTTTGTTTTACTAAAAAAAAAAGGTTGAACAGTAAGGAATTTTACAACGGATAACATAAATATTGATCGGGCAGTAAGTCTTCGGCACGCTGCAAAACTGGCATATTTTGGAGGCTCCACTACTTATTTAGCTCTTAATTTTCTATCTTCATGTTTAGCACGCTAATTAATGCTTCGTTTCCTCTAGATTTATCGACTCTTTTATTTATTCCTTATTCAGGCTCTTTCTTTTGGTTTTTCCTCCTCTATTTTTCACTACTACTGCTTAATTTTTTGTTATTGTAGCTTTAAAAGTAAACCAAAGTCTGCCGCTTAACATCCCAAGGTTGGCCCGATGACTTCCGTGACACCGTCGTTTTGGTTTACTCATGAACGAGCCATGACGTAACTATATTGTATATTTCCAAGTACTTGAGTAATTACTCAATAGCGAAGTGAACAAGGAAGGGAAAATACGGACACTTTAGTTCCGGGATTTTCAGGTCATTCGCTGGAGTTCGACAGTCCACCATCAAAGAATGTCGCGTTGGCAGTGATCATCGCCACCGTGGCCGCCTTCATAGTGCTTTCGTTTGTGAATATCTGGCAAGCTGTTGTCATATACAGGTTATTTTAATATCAATAACAGACATCGAGAAGCGTGAGATATCTGGCAATGTGATATTTCGCGAACACTGTGCTTTTACAAACTCCTAGCACCTAGCTGAAGTGTTCTGTTCCACACCCAATAACCTGTGCAGCGTATCCCGGAAAAAATAACTCTGTATGCAAGTAGGTAACTGTTTTTTTCTAACTAAAAGGTGACGATATAAAAGTGGGTTCGTCATCAGATATCATAGTTTGGCAAAAATTTTGGTCACAAGCGAGTTTTTGTCCGATTTCGTTGAAGTGCTGCGAAGTCGAAATTCGTAAGAAAAAAATAGAGAATTCAAAGCGAAGAAGGAATTGTACGGAGACATCATTTCAATAGATAGACTATTCAGAGGAAGATACTGACACTGATAGATACTCTGGAGAAATGATGGTTGCAGCAAAGTACATTTAACGTCCGCGCTCGTCTTGGACGCTGGAGCTGGGACTTTCCAAAGAACGCCTATGGATTCGAGATTAGATGACCGTTCGGAATTGCGGAGTGCATGGAATATTTTGAAAGGCACAAGAAAGCGAATTTAAAGGCCTTTTACTTGTTTCATATATCAAAGTTCCGTTAGAGAGGCGTCGATCACTTTATGAGGTTAGCTATGTCCACTTCTACACTCTGATTAAAGCAGCTAGTAGATGTAACTAACGTTTCCGGGACACTGCAACAGGCTGATGATTGAGACCGAAAACGGGGTTGTTCTTCCGAATGAAAACGATCTCCCTCAATTTTGAATGAGATCCATTTCTATTTCTCATAGTAGTCTTGTTCGTGCAATATATTGGAGCTTCGTAGGCAACTAGTCATCGAAGAGGCGGCGAACGAAGCTTCCTCATAACTTTCTGTGGACGGTCGGGTTGTTGCAGAGCAGATTAACAAGATGCACTTGAATAGATTTTTATCATTTGCTATCTGATCACATACGAATCCTTCCCTTCACTTAGTTGTTAATACTGAAAGCGTTGGTGAAGATTAGTTCCCTTCTGAGAATTCGGCAAAAAAAATCGACACGAACAGAAAAACTCCGGAACCTCCGTTTTAGTTCCTTCCTAAGAAGTCTTTTTTACAAATAAACTGTTCCCGACTAGTCTTAAAAAAAGCCTGCTTTTTTCATGAATGAGGGAAAATTTTCTAAATTCCATTCCTGTTCGAAGTAACTTATTGTGACGATGAAGGGACTCGTAGTCATGTCTAAGTGGGATTTCTATTTTCTAGCGAAATTATTATGAAGGATAAAAGGATGAAGCTCTTAGTGTTGATCAATCCCTGAAGAATGCGCCATGCATTCGACCTCACTAAGCATCGTTGGAGGTGATGCAATGGATATCTGGGATTTACAATTCGCAGTGGCTCACCGATGTATCGGGCCAGTGCTGCTGTCCTCTCAGACAAGTCTGGTACCAATTTGCCGACCCCGGAGAGATGGAAGGCTTGCTGAGCCAAGGGCGAAGCGATCGATTCCATGTGTGTGTTGCAGGGAACCTCCGACCTACAGAAGTTATTATACTGACAGGAATATTGTTGATATCTTTATAGGTTTGAGGTAATAATGTCTAAAGCAGAGAATACTGGAAGAAATGATTTTTTAGGTGTATGGAATACTACGAGGCTGAGTACAGAAATTTAGACGATGTCAATTCTCAGGGAGACATCATTATCCAGGAGTCGCGGTTCGACGTCTCGGATAGTAACCCATTACGACTCGTTGACAGACAATTTCAATGACATCATCAGACTTCGTTCTTAGCATTTTATCAGCGTTGTTCATATCTGTTATCCGCTAGGCCATATTGGTGGGTCGCATCCTTGGTACCTATGAAGTGTGCGGAATTCCACCTGTGACCTAAAATGTTCCTGCGACTACATCAGAGTTACGGGAAAGAAAAATGTCATTTAAAATTTCGCTATCAGTTCGAACGAAACATTGAGTTAAAGGGTTCTCGAATTAATATATTATGAGATCGCGTTTTGGAAATTCGTCAGGTTCTATGAAATTGGGTGTTTGGGTGAAATGTGCGGGCGACGCTCGGGTTTACCGTATTTAGGTCCGATCTACATAAGATGCTTATTATACTATATTCTGCTTTGCGAGACAATAAATTTTATCACTGGTTGTCGTTGTCCATGAATACATAGAGATTCTCTTCAGATTTGTTGCTGGTGTTAAGATAATGACGTCATTCGGTCACTGAAATCGTTATGGTAAATAACTTCAGTGAAGTTCTTAAAGGTAACGATAAATCATGAGGAGAAGTTGTACGACGCAAAAATCGACTTATTTACACTATTGAAGAAAACCTGCACAGCGCGAAACTTTGAGTGGATATCACTTCGTTTTCTTGTTCAGCAATCGCGAGGTTTTTAAACAGCATACATTTACTTCCATAGAGAAACACAATACAATACAACACTAGCTGACGTTTCGACAGTATCACCTTCTTCAGAGCCGCTTTTTACGTAACTTCCAATGAGGAGGTTTAGAACAGCTGAATATAGTCGCATATGGTTGATGAACTTCCTAATTGGAAGTCACGTAAAAAGCGGCTCTGAAGAAGGCGATACTGCCGAAACGTCAGCTACTGTTGTATTGTATTGCCTTGTAGATTGTATATCAGCATGCCCTTCCAGGCTCTGAAGAAGGCGATACTGCCGAAACGTCAGCTAGCGTTGTATTGCATTGTGGTTTCTTGTGGAAGTAAATGTATGCTGTTTAAAAACCTCGCGATTGCTGAACAAGAAAACGACACATTCATATTCCAATGCCGAGGTTAATAGAAAGTCGATCCTGAGAACTATTACAAGCTATCACTTCACACTAAATGCTTCGTATAGCGTAATGGTTAGAGGTATTGTGCAACTCACATGTGGTGTTCGGTTCGATCTCGCTCCTGGAGCACGTGAAGCAAAACGGAACTTTCTACCACGCTTCTTTGTGGGGAAACAGCATTGATATGACAATATTTCAAAATCGGCTCTCCCTTAACCTCGGCATGAGTAATCAACATGTATTCTTTCATTGATAAGCTTACACGAGGTTGATAAATATGTTTATTTTCGGCTAACGTTTCGACATCTTCGTTTACATGAGAATGGATGATCGGAGTCGATGGTCCACAGCTGTTCGTATTCTCCATGCGGTGCTTTCATCTATGTATTGAGTCGGATATTCCTCAGTGGAGCATCTCTACAATGAAGCAATCTCAACCGGCGATGCTCTTTTACACATGACGTTGGTTTGTAATGCTTGCCTTCGTCGTTAACTGGATCCAACTTGGTTAGACGGATGTAATGTGTTATCAGGAATGAGTAACGAAAATGAATGCAGGGTCGGAAAATTCGCTATAAAAAGTCGAAATAAGGACCGTCATTTCAGACTCCTTCCCAACACATGCCTCTACCATGGAAATTCTTTCTTCGACAGAAGGAAAGGTACGCAGAGCACTAGGAAACCATAAGAAGGATGAGCAAAGAGACCTTTTTAGCATTTTCCAGATTAACAAAGGGTAAGGATGAAGCCCTCGGCGTTCAAATCCCTTCAAATCAATCCCTGAGGGATGCGCATGCATTCGACTTCATTAACTTCAGACTTCATTAAGCATTGTTTGGAGGTGACTGGATGCATATCTGGCCTTTACAATGGCTCCCGGTGGCCTCCCAATGTATCGAGCTAGTGCTGCTATCCTCCCAGACAAATCTGATACCAATTTGCCGGCTCCGGAGAGATGGAAGACTTGGTGGACCATGGAGATCGATTCCACGCGTGTCGAACACTCCCGCCCTATTTTTCAGATTAGCTTCCTGAATGTACTCAACGAGCTTTTCACGATTATTATCTATCGTGCATGTGGAAAACCATCGTTGAACAAGCAGAATTCCAGGAGTGATTTTCCTGAATGGACCACATCGAAACTCCATCTAGGGTCATAAATGCCCGTCAAGAATATCAAGTGTCTCTTGTTCCTAGTTCTTTTAGGTGTGAAGAATTTTTGGGACTATTGAACATTTCATCAGTGCTTGTCGACCAATGCAAACTCGCTCCAAATAGAAATTCTGGCTGGTTGCTGTTGCAGCTGTACTTTGAATATACGGATTTTCCGTCGATTATTTGCGATTTCCATAAAAAAGGAGTGCCAAAATGCGCCAGCGATTTGTCAGAACTACCAGGGAATGTGCTAGATGACGAAGTCGCCCGATTCACACGAAAATGGCGTATGTATTGATGGGAAATTCCTATTAAACTTTTATTTCGTTCACTACATTACCGTCTTTTTGACATCCATTCGCTTGTTCCGACTAAAGAAAGAGCCGTTCGAATGCTCTTGACCTCCTGGAATTAGCACCAATGTTGCTACGTTGAGTTCCCTACTTTATATGAATACTAAGTCGTTGTGAATATTAGTCCTTGTAGCTGCCACGTGGGTGTTTTGTGTTTGTGTGTAAGTCGCTGAATCGAACGCTGGGTTACAAATTTTATGGTAATAGTAGCAATAACAACAGTAACAGTAGAGCGAAATATATGGACGAGTTAGGCGATGTGAACGAACTGGATGGACACTTGACGAACACTGTGAACACTTGAAGAAGAATGGCCCTGGGCTGTCTGTATTACTTCTATAGTGGGTGGAGCTTGTCAGAAGGAACTAAAGACAGCGCCTAGAGAGAAATCCGAAAGGTTTTTTCTACTATCACAACCTGATAGAGCTACATGTGGAAGGGTGCAGCTGCTCGATCGGAAACTTCTTTGGGACGGCAGATACTGGAAAGTAGATTCAGCTGACTACTGCTGATTCAGTGCCCGAACTGTCGGACAAAGAAGATCAGTTTATTGAAAGAAGTAATAGAATCCCTTTCCAGCCACCTGCGAGGCAGCTGCATGAGATAGTGGCTAAGAGGCAATTTAGAGAAGATGCGAAAATAGATTTAAGATAGTTACAGGTGAACAGAAACATACACTAATATAGAAAATAGGAACTATTTGATGAATAGTTCCTATAAACTATGTTTCGAAAGCGGTTAAAGAGTTCCATATCGCCAACTTTAGTAAATAGCAGCATTAAGCTGATATAGTAATTAGCTTTCTGCTTTCACATAAGTCAGTAAGCCTTAGTTAGGCTTCACTTAGACACTTGGGTAGACCGGGTTCATGAGTAGTCTATGCGCCAGTCCATTGGTTGTCTTCTCTGTCAGTCATTCCTGATAGTAGTCTACTTCGAGCACGGTGCCGCCCGTGAGTTCCACTCTACGATCCACAAACCGCACCCGGCTTCAAATTTTAGTTAGTGAGAGTTAAAAACACGTCTGCCCATCTTGTACTTCGTCATTCAAGAGAGCACCCATAACCTTTTAGAGTCTACTCCACCGACCACCTCATCCACATCACGCAAATTCTTATATTAGAAAACCGG